ATTTTGAGGCTTCCGAAAACAGGTGCATGCAATATGTCATTTGCCTGCTACTGTTAAAAGTTTCCTTAATATTTCACATATGAGAAAGCAGCTTCTGTTTGTTTTGACTAAAGATGCCATAACTTCTATTTATGTATAGGTTTTCTGAAAATAGGACTTCAGCTTTCTTATTTCCAACTAACTTGGAAACTGCTTGTAATGGTAGCTGGTGATACAGATTTCCCATCTGTACCATTGTTCCCTGTAGAGACTAGCAGTAAGTGTTTAAGTGCTTTTAATCTCATGACTGTGCTACACTTCCATATCAGCTTCAGATGTCTGTGAATAGAGAGGGGAAAAGTCAGTATCAGATTCCATGGAAGAGGAGAGAAGCCTTGAAATACGACACAGGATTAATTTATAAGATGGAAATCAGTGATACATGTCTGTGAATTCCGGCGCTTTGTGAGCTTCTTGCAGGGAGGACCAATAGCATCTTTTCTGGAAACATGAAGGAACTACCAGTGTTTTTTTCATAGACCAGAAAACTTCTCCAAGTTCATTGCAGACCTCACTATTACGTTTCAACTTTCTTGTCTTGTGTGTTTGCTTCTTTTCTGAAGTACAAATGGCCAGTGCTGAGCAATTTGCTGCACAGCACACTTTTCAGGCCAGACTGAATTGCTGTAGCTGCTTTCTTTGAGTGGTTTGAACATGAGTGGATACTGAGAAAATGTCAAGCCCAAACCTTGCAATTAAGCAGTAACATCTCATTTGGAAAGATAATTTCATTGGGATTTAAAGTCTTCAGGTGACAGCTGTTGACTATTTTTCATCATGGCTCTTCTGATCTTGATTTCATGAGTTCTTCTACTAATTGTATTGCCAGAACAAGCTCTCAGATGCATCTGCTCTTTAGGCAGAAGCATTGCCTCTTTCTTTTTGTTTTTCTTCTCTCCCTTTCTGGCCAGGATCCAAGATGAATGGATCTTTTGTTGTTTTTATTTTTAAAGTGGAATACCCTAAGCCTAAGTAAACATCATATAGCAAAGTTTAAGAACTTGCATATAAAATCAGGTATGGGCTGAATATCTGTTTTTCTGCTGAGATCTTTCACTCACAGACTTGTGTCTAACCACACAGAAATCTGTAAATCAATTGTTCCCTGCTGATTTCTTCAGATCTGGCAAACTTGTTGTAGAAGAACGAAAGAACAGAATTTGGTATCAATGCTCTCCCTCCTCTGCTTCAAAAATCATGCATTTGAACAGCCCAGTTGGTGCACCACTTAAATGGTTATCACTGCTGTGGGACAGTTCTTCAAAATGCATTGCATTTAAATGCAATCCACATGCATTTAAAGAAAGTACAAAAAGAGCTGCCATGTGACATCCTGCCGTGCCATTTTCATAATTTTCCTATCAATTCAGTTTTCTGAATCTGAAAGATAATTTAGCGCTTGATTTTTCAGACATTCAGGGAGTAAGCAGGAGGAAGAACCATTCAGAAGGAGGACTTCCTGACTGCACTGGGTCCTTACCACCTCTAAAACAACCAAAAAGCACAAGTCTTTAATAGTTGTTTTTCAAAGCAAATGGGGGAATATTTTTTGGATTTTGCATGTTATAAACCTGTGGTCCTGATGCTGAATGCTCTTGACTCAAAAACACTGTGCTACACCAGCTTTTAGCATTGAGCTGTGATGTAGAGCTTTTCTCTGTGTCACATCTACCCTTCTGCTGATGCTGGCATTGCTTCATACTGGTACTAGGGAATCAGCTAGCTTAGCAACTAAGACTGGTCTGTTGTCTAGTCTGGATGCTTTCTAATCCATCCCTCCCTCCCTCCTGTAAGAAATGTACATTCCTGTGATTTGATTGAAGAAAAGAGAGGTAAGTGCTGGGGAGAAGGTGTGTGCAGGAGCTGTCAGTAGGATGGGCTTCCCTGTTCTTGTATAAAACAAAATCTTGTTCTTGTGAATTGATTGAATCACAAGAATCTTGTGATTGTTTATCTGACTCTTCATCTGTGTAAAGAAGTAGACTGGTTTAGGCTTAGATAATTTCCTTCTCAGAGGCTGGTGTGGGGCTGTTGTGGATATGTGTTAAACACAGGGTTGATAATACAAGAGATGTTTTTGTTACTGCTGAGCAGGGCTTTCACAGAACCAGGGCCTTTTCTGCTTTCCACAGAGCCATGCTGGGGAGGAATTTGGGGGTGCAAGGAGGTTGGGACAGGACACAGCAGGACAGATGACCCAAACTAACCAAAGGGATAGTCCAGACCATATGACATCATGCTCCATGTATAAAGTGGGGGAAGACACAGGAATGGGGAACATTTGAAGTGCAGTGTTTGTCTTCCCAAGTCACCATTACATGTGATGGGGCCCTGCTCTCCTGGAAATGGCTGAACGCCTGCCTGCCCATGGGAAGCAGTGAATTAATTCCTTGTTTTGCTTTGCATTTGTGTGTGGCTTTTGCTTTCCCTATTAAACTATCTTTATCTCAACCTCTGTGCTTCTCACATTTATCTTTCCAGTTCTCTCTCTGATCCATCTGAGGGGAGAGTGAGCAAGCATTTGCATGGGGATTGGCTGCTAGGGTTAAACCATGACAAGGGAAAAACAAGTTCTTCAATTATATCATATAATTGCATTTTTTTAATACTCAAACAGGAACAATGTTTTCCCTCAGCTAAAACTGGAAGCTTATTAAAAAGCCTTCATGTATAGTCAAAAGCAACAGGAGATTATAATGCAAACAGGGCTTGATGGGCGGTTTCAGCACAAGTGGTGGCAATTACAAAATATTAATGCCTGTTTTGCAGGGTAATATTGCCATGTTATGAGGAAAAAGATGGCTGTAGGGATAAGGGGCAGTGTGGTTCCCTACATTATGGAACAATAAAAAAAGGAAAGTACTTTTCAGGTGTAAAACTGAATAAATCTGAATGAATCTTTAACTGGTCATGCTTGGCAGTTAAACAGGTGAGTTTCAGGCACACCAAGGGACAGATGCAGACTGGAGTAAGACAGTTGCTGAGATATTTTAATTTTTAGTTCTATTTTACTTGGAAGAGTTGACTGTAAGGAGGTACAGCTGTAGAGCATATAACTTTCACTACCAAATATAGAAACAAAGTGGGACAGTGTTACTGTGAAGAAACGACTTGAGGTTAAAAAAGAAAGGATGTTTTTTTCTGTGTGGTAGGTGATGAGCACTGTCCTTTCAGGATTAAAGATGAAGTTAATCACGTTATAGGGCCAAGCACCAGTTTCTCAAACTAGCCTGTTTAGATCCAGTCAGGATGGCTGGGGTTGATGCCAGTGGCAAAGCAGCCAAAATTGGCCCATGAATAAAATGTCTCAGACTGAGTTTCAGCAGAGAGCTCCAGTGCTGAGACACCAGTCCCAACAAGCCCAGAGGAAAAGCCTGGATTGTCAGAAGGAGGCAGTTTTCAGATGACTGAAGTGAGCTACATTAACTAAAAGGTACAGCAATGTCCAGCTGCTGCTCAGGGGCATGTGAGAAGACAGCAGAGCTGCCATCTCTGCAAGGGGGCAATGCAGGGTTTTTCAGGTTGTACTGTGGGCATTACTATTGGGGTACTGTGCTAAGCTGAAGTGGTGTCAGTTGAAAACTAAGTTCTGCTTTCTGATGATCATGCAACAGCAATTTTTAACAGAACTGCAATTTCTGCATGCTTTCAGGTAACAGAGCAAATGTCTGGTGCTCTTCTGGAAAGCAGATATAAGCAGCAGGAGTCAGGACCTTAATTTGAATTCTTAATATTGTGCAGAAAATATGCAGTTAGTTTAAATCACAGCAAATGGACAATAAGCACTGACTTAAAATGTCAGCCTGACAGCTGGGTAAGATTTTAAAATAAATTTCCCAATATACTGTGTCCAAAGAAACAAACCAACATAGCCATATCAGTATATATGTTCACTTTACATTTTGTTTATGTGCCTAAATTCAGTATGCTTGTGAAATTCTAAATAAGTCAGGCTCCTCTATTTGGCTGCTTCCTTGTCCTTGCAATTTTTTTCTTCTGACTAGTCTGGGCATCAGCAATTGAGGCCAAGAAGAGAAATGAGTCTATTCAGATGTCTGGTGAAATCTTTGACTGTTAGAGAAGACATCAGACATGACTTGTGAATACTGGGAACTGTGTAGTCAGCACAAATGTAGATATTTCGTACCTTTAAAAGACTACAAGATACATTATGAAGAAGACCAGAAGATGAATTACTTTATTTTCTTTTTAGATATTAAGAATTTGTTGTTGAATAGGGTTTTCAGTGATTTAGAGTATGGTTTTGTGCTCTTTTTTCATGTTACTCTTACCTTAGTACATTATTACGTGTTTTTTCAAAATAAAATACCATTAAGTCACTGGTGAAAGTTTGAATAGCCTCAGATATTTCATATACTACTTCTCTTAAATCATGTGTACTGAAAGTGAGAACTGCTGCAGCATGTATATGTGCCAGCTTGGCACTTGCCTGCAGCACAGGGCCTGGAAGGTGTGGATTTTCCAGATATTTACAGTCCAGTTTCTGCCTGGAAAGAATCAACTCCAAACTAATAGAGCATTTGGAACATAATGGCTCATGATAACTCAGCTGCTTGTTGATTCATACAAAAGCACCGTGGTTTCCTCCCACATACCTCCGTATACAGAGGAGCCTGCAAACCAACACTTAAAATTTCCTGTACAAATACCAGTTCCCAAGACTTTGATCAGCTGTGGAGATGAACTGGCTGGCTGCAGTGCTCCACATGATACATTTTAATGCTCCATATAACTTTTTTGATAGTGTCCTTTTTATATGTCAGAAATCCTTAGGCTCCTTGCACCTTGTTTCCCCAAGCTGCCCACTTGCTCAGGCTGCATTTCTGATCAGACCTTTGTTTCAAGACCTTTTTCCTTCCCTATTTTGTGTGAGGCATGGGCAATAGGGTACAGCTAATTCCCTCCTAAAGGAGAAATCAGAGAGACAGCAGCAGCTGCAAACACCTCCCAGCAAAGCTGCAGACAGAAAACAGCTGTCAGCAAAAGGGTGTGTTTTATTCTGTACTTGCAACAGAAAGTGTATGGCAAGGAATGAATGCATGCCCACCGAGGGGCCACCTGCAGGACCACTCCCTTGTTATGGTCTGCCTTTACTCTGAAAAGTAAGCAGCACGAGAAAGTAGGTGATGATCCTTGCCTAACTATATGGATAGTTTTAATTTTTCATCTGAGATTCATTTTCAGAGCTAAAAGGTACATCCTGAAAAGAATCACCAAGATCCTAACTAGATGTTGACTTGACGAAGCAAGTGGGAGATTCTCCAGCAATGGGCTTTCTAATGCTATTCAGAGTAAAATTACTGCTATGTTTGGAAAGGACTGAATTAGGGATGGGAAGAGCAAAAAAACCCTACAAAAGGCTGTATTATATTCAGAGGGGGCTGCCTATGAAACATGTAAATGAAACCTAAGGGCAAGGGCATACCTATATAGAAGCCTGTGATGTCGTAGCCACATACAGTCATAGAATACAGTCAACTGGACCATTGAGTGCATCTCCTAGATGGAGGTGTCATTTGAAAAGACGTGACTTCCTGTAATGATTTAGTTACAGGAAGTTTGGAAATAGATTTTTTTGTTGTTGTTGACTTTTATTTACTACAGTTAGATTCTGCAACATTCTTCTGTCAGTAACTCAATACAGAAACACCCACCTTGAGAGAAAACTGTGAATAGAACAGTAACGTTTGTTGTTTTTTTTCTGTTAGGCTTTTGATAGGGCCTGTTAAAAGCTTAATGTGCAGGATCTACTGCTCCAGCTGGATCCTTGAAAACGTATGGGGCGTGATAGGATTCACCCAAGAATCCTTCAAGAGCTGGCTTATGTAGTCACAAAATGTTTCTTCTGAGTGGTCTTGGGAATCCAGAGAGGTCCCAGGTGACTGGAAGCTGGCAAATATTGTCCTGATTTTCAAGAAGGGCAGGAAGGAGGACCCAGGAAACAGACCTGTCAGTCTCACTCCAGTGCCTGATAAAGTTATGGAGAAGTTTATTCTGGGGATACTGAATAACACCTGAAAGACAAAACAGTCATTCGTCACAGACAGCAAGTCTTCCAGAGTGGAAAATCCTCTTTATCAAACCTGATTTCCTTAAATGACAAGGTACCCCACTCAGCTGACCAAGGGAAGCCAGTAAAGCCTTTGAAGCTGTCTCTCACAGGATCCTTCTGGACCTGATGTCCAGCCCACAGCTGGATAAACACATCTTGGGATGGGTGAACAGCTGGCTCATGGGTTGGGTACAAAGGGTCACAGTGAATGGGGTGACATCAGACTGGGAATCTGTCACTGGGGGCCCCATCCTCAGCCCTCTGCTCTTCAACATCTTCATAAATGACCTGAACACAGGACTGCAAGGGATACTGAGCAAGTTCCCAGGTGGGAGGAAACTGGGAGGAGCTGACTCCCTCGAGGTCAGGGAGGCCCTGCAGAGAGACCTTGACAAATCAGGGGTTTGGGCAATCACCAACCACATTGGTTCAACAGGGAAAGTGCTGGATTCTGGGATGGGGCAGCCCTGGATGTATGGACAGACTGGGGAATGAGACACTGGGAAGCAGCAACATGGAAAGGGACCTGGGGTTCCTGGTCTATGATGTGTTGAACATGAGCCAGCAGTGCCCTGGCAGCCAGGAGGGACAACCCTGTCCTGGGGGCATCAAGGGAGGGGATTGTCCCTCTCTGCTCTGAGCTGGGGTGGCCTCACCTCCTGTCCTGGGGGTTTTGCTATAAAAGGAGCAACTGAGGGCATTTGGTCAGTTCAGCCTGGAGCAGACTGAGGACAGACCTCACTGCAGTTACAGCTTCCTTGTGAGGGGAAGAGGAGGGGCAGGCACTGATCTCTTCTTTGTGGTGACCAAGGACAGGACCCCTGGGAATGGCCTGAAATTGTATCAAGGGAGGTTTAGACTGGATATCAGGAAAAGGTTCTTCACTCAGAGGGTGTCTGGGAACTGGAACAGGGTCCTCAGGGTGGTGGTCACGACATCTGACAGTTCAAAAAGTGTTCAGACAATGCTCTCAAACACATGGTGTGACCCTTGGGGATGGTGCTTTACCAGGAGTTGTATTCAATTGATTCAATGTGTCCCTTCCAATTAATCTTATTCTGTGATTCTGTAAATAATTATATGGCTCACTTCCAGTGCTTTTACATGAAGGAATTTAAGGATTCAGAAGGAACTAAGGGTAATGTTTGTATCGTGTTAATGACCCTACTAAGTAATACATACAGGAATCTCCTATGCTCTCTGATGAGTTATGGTGACAGTAACTGTTCAATGCCACCTTCAACTTTCTTCTTAATCTGGAGCCTCACTTGTTTTCACAATGCTTGGGTTAGTAACAAAAGGCCCTATAAACCCTGATGAAGGGCCCTGCCTCTTGCCATTTTTTAGTTTTTTTGGTGTTTGTGTTTCATTTTCTGTTCATTTTCTCAGCTGCTACCATGCATGATGGGTCATGAAGTTGTGGTGAGGGGAAACGTTCAAGTTAATACTGCTGAAGCAGACTGTAAGAGCTGAAGCAAACAAAACAAACTACTGCTGTGCTCAATATTAAAAAAAAGGGTAAGTTTTGAAAGAAGGAAAATTCAGTGATATTTTAAAAAGCATGTAATATCTTACTTGCCCTATAGTTTTAATAGTACTAGCTTTGATATTATTGAAGAAGCTTATGATGTATTTAATTTCTGCATATTCTGTACAAGAGTCTTATCCAGCTCTGCATTTTTCCATACACAATGGAAAAGGCAAAAAGCAAGCTGGTTTCCTTTGCTGGCCTTTGCAGAAAAAAACCTGTGAAATGAAGCGTAACTGTTCTGAATGGGATCCTGTAATAACTACGTCTGTGAGTGTCACTACATTAGAAGTCATTGTGGTGTCTCAGCGCCTTCCTGGACAATTTCCTAACTCTTCCTGCATTTGAAAGAACTTGCTGAGTGTCCCTTAATTCAGGTTTTGACACTGTATGCCTGCAAAGGGAGAGGTCAGAAAATGTGACGTGGAAGGGAACTGTACTCTTTGTACTGAAGACACTTTTGAGGCAGGCTTTTACTTCAGATTCTGAGCCTAAGAACTTTAAGAAAGAATACCCCATTTATTTTTTTCTCATTAACATCCCTTAAGTAATGAGTTCCAGGTGCTTTTCTCCTGCTGCAAAAGCATAAATTGAGTCATTCCTCTTCCCAAGTTTTTTAATTAATGTTGAACCACTGTGCAATGGAAACACTATATGTACTTGAAAAAAATAATTTATTTTTACAAGAGGATTTGCTATAAAACAGTAGAGTACAAGGAAATAAGTTCACAGATTTTTGTGGTTTAAATTCTTACTTCCTGAAAGGAACAATTAAGGTGTCTTCTAAAAATGGAAAGATTCTTTGATCAGGAAAGAAGACATACACTTGACATATCACTGCAAAAGAAACATCACAAGGGTATGAAAGACACTTTAAGAAAATGGGAGGCCTGACATTTCTGGCAAAATTTAACCTAAACATGACAGAGAGAGCATGATGATCTTTGTCTCTTCTTCAGTTCCATCCCAGCACCAGGATGATGGCAGGTAACTCTCCACAGTTTATTTCTGCTCCTGTCTAATCTTATGAGTCCCACCCCAGCCCCTGTTGATTTTATACTGAGGTTTTTAAAATATGACATAAAAGTTACAAACAAAATTTTAAGTACACAATACAGTTTCATCCTTTTTCAGAATGCCCAAATTAATAAAGCTGTTCAAATCAAGAGTCTTTGGCATCTGCAAACCAGAATGATTGTATTACCAAAGTACAAGGATAAATCCCAAAATTTTTATAGAAAATAATTACTTAAAGCCAGACTAACACATGTGTGTTTGTGTAGTTTGTTTTGTGTGCATGTGTTCTCAGTTACAGTGAGCCTCTAGAAATACAGAAAGGTAAATATTTTTGTCAGCTGATTGTTTTAGCAGTCACATAATCCTTCCTTTGATGTCCTGGGTCAATGAAATCCTAGTACCATCAGGGTTTAGCAGAAGATCTATTAAAAGAGTTGTCTGTGATCTTTCCTGCAACGGAAACAGCAGTAAAGTAATAAAGTTATTACTCTGTCACAGTGCAGGGATATCTGTGCATTCTTGATTGCCTCCCCAAACTGAGTTATTTTTTAGATTACCAGTAGAGTGTAACTGTAGCTACAGAGTTAACAATGATTTCTTTAGCCTCCTAGAGCTACCACAACAAGGTCTGGAGAAGACAAGGAGTATCCATGGTGGGAGCACTAAGTCTCTTGTTTATTAGCAGGTTACTCTGAAAATAATGTTGGAGGCAAGTTACCAGAGCAATACTTTGTGATGTGCTACATACCCACATACCTTCTCATCTTTAGCCAACAGTCCTCTTAAACAGTACTGAGGTAGCTTTTCCACCTTAGGCCATTTAGTGTCTAACATCAGGATACCATAATATGTACTGATTCGTTTTTAGAGAGAAAACAGCAACAACATTTCTCAAATGCTCTTAGGAAACGTACATCTTTTTTTTTTTTGCTCTAGGGCTCGACTCCTGTTCCTGCTGAACTGAGCCAGTGTGTAAAATCAGAACTGATATCAGCTCAGTAGGCACCGGAGGACGGGTCCATCAACAGCCTGGAACAACAGCAGCAGCCGTAAGTTGTTTCCGACTGGAGCTGCCACCATTTCCTCCAAACGACACACAGTGCTAAGCTAAAACTGCAGAGAGATCATGACAGCATCCATTAAAGAGAAGACTATAAAACAAAGGCTTTATTGACAATTTCAGTTAAAGTCACAAACATTATTTCCTCTGACCTTCAGGATAACATGGTAACCAAATTACTGTAAGCAATGGCTTATATTTGCAATCAGACTGAGAACTTAAGAAGTACTGTTTATTCTCAACTAAAACTAAAAGTCTTTGGTCCTTCCCAGGTTGCCTCTGCCTCTTATTCTTCATACACTGAACCTCAGACAAATGCACTCATCGCAAATCTGCCTGTTCAGCAGGAAGGGATCTCAGCCAGCAAACGCTCTCTGCCCTGCAGAGAGTCTCCTCTCCCTTCTCTTCAGGTGCAGAACTTAGCCACTGTGAACAAAGAGGAAAACAATCACTGTTCACCAATCAGCTAAGCTCTGCACCTCGCCAGAGAGATCTCAGTCTCAGCAGAGATAGCTTTCGGAGGAGGTTCTTCCATGATGCTCTGCTGCTCTCCTCTGTTTTTGGTGGGTTTGGGGGTTTGTTTCTCTTTTTTTTTTTTTTTCCCTTTTAGTTTGGGGGTGAGGGTTGGTGTGTTTTTTGTTTGTTTGTTTGATAGATGGAGAGGATTCCACGCTGTGCACACATCAGACCGTTAATGGTGAGTTTCATGCTAGCAGCTGTGGTCATGGCTGTGTGGTAATCCCTGGCAATGTGATTTTAATCTTAAGTCACAAATCATCATGCCAGGAACCCAAACAGCCATAACATTAAAAGAAAGCTGTGCAGTCACACAGAATATTGTGCTCAGTATCTTTAGATTTTATGTCATAGCTCACCATGCACTTCCACTCTGTCTGTAAAGTCAAAGGGGTAATTCTAGGCTATTGCTAACACCTGCATACCATGTAAATTTCTTGCGCTAAATACTTACCATTGGAAACTTTAATTTAGAAATTTTGATTTTATTGTTTCTGGCCTTCAGACAATCAAAGACAGATTAAGAATTGCTGAACATAACTCAAATTCCTGCGAATCCTTGATAATTGAGGATACACAAGAGGGTCTTTCTAGCCCTAACTATTTAAAAGGTGTCTCTCCTACCCCACAACTGATACCCGGCCACTCTACAGTCTGATCTACCTTTCCCAAAAAAGTTTTCTTGGCAGGCACAGTTCTTGTCTATACAGAAGAACAACATGGCTTTTCATAATCAAACTTGCTTTCATAGTATCTGCCATTGGCTGTATTTCCTAAAAACATAGCAAAAAACACTACAAAATCAAGTGGAACTCACACATACTGCTAGAACATGAGAAAATTACGATTTTTGTTTAGTAGCAATTAAGTGACAATGTTTCTGCTAAATTAGAAGGCTGAATTTTGATACCACAAATCAGCTGTAAAGTTTTGTTAACAACCAAGGCAATCAGTCTGTCCAGTGACTGATATGATTAACTCAAAATCTGAGGTATGCTGTACTGGAAGAAACTTTCATACAAATCTTTTTGGGTTATATGTTAAAGATGCATGTGCAGACACTGTAAGGCTACCTCCAACTGTTCAAAGAGAGAATTGAAAAACGTCTTTGCAAATTTATATCCTGCGGTACGCTTTATTCCATAAATATTTTCTGCAATTCTGGTTCTTCTCTGGTGATTCCTCTTCCTTTAACTTCAAACAAGCTAGCTTCTTTGTTTTAAGGCTACTTTTCTTACCTCATAATCAATCTTCAATACTCTTAACACAAAAACATCTGAATTATCAGCTTGTTCTCACATGATTCATATTTGCTTCCAGCCCAGTTTCGTATTTCCACTGTGGGATCAGGCTCTTTTCAAAGACTGTGCTGCCTGTCAAGTACACATGCAGCTCTATTAAACAGAAATGCTCCCTGCACAATTGAAATTTTTGTAAGCAGAGTTAAGAATACAGAATGGGAAACAACTGTAGGCAGAGCCTGGCCTTCTTTGGCCATTTGGACTTACAGTTGCCTCTTGTACAGTCCATTACAACAAAGCCATTCTCCACGTTCTCCAGTTTTGCCTACATGTATGTAACTCACTGCTCCTGCAGCTGGGCTTAAGAAAAAGAAAAAAAAAAAAGCCAACAAGATATGTAACGAGTTATTTCTCAGCCTAAGTAGTCACAAGCTGTATGGTATGCCAAAGTTTACCACATTCTGTGAGATCTGCATATTCTTTCTCTATGAAGCAAATTCAGGGTGTTGGGATTAAAATGAAAAATCACCTTTTCAGAATAACATCTCTGCCACCACTTTGGCTGAGGATGCATCCATATGTTCTTGTGCTGCAGCAAAGCATTTCCGTGCAAGTTCTTGTTGTTTTGCATCTTCATTCACCATTAATTCACCGTAGAGATACACACCCATGGCCTGAAAGAGGAACATAATACACAGGCATCCTACCACCAGTAATAACTAGTTAGCTGTTTTTTTGCCACTGACCTCCTAGTACTCATTTAAACTAAAAATGAAACAAAATAGACAATGCAAAATACAGAAAATACTATTTACTCTCTAATGCCTATTCTCCCCCCCAAAAAAATCTTAGCTTTTTCTGTGTCTCTTTAGCCTAAGGGTGGTTGTCTATATGCTGTGTTGACTATGTAAAAACAAACTATTAATGTATGAGTTCTGTGTTACGGCATGACAAGAAAATTATTCCTCACTCCACTTTCCTTGCCACTTTTCAAGTTGAATATTGTTTTCTTTAACCCACTACCTGATTTTTTTTCCAAATGCCCCTTAAGAAAAAAGCTTCTCCTTCCTTCAACAGGATACACATTTTCTTTCCAATTGTCATGTTTACTCACACATCCACGAACAAAGACTGAAGTACTCCACTCCAAAATTCCCATTTGGCAATTCTGTAACTGGACATCAGCTGTATATGGTCATGTTTGTGTTTGACTCCCATTATATCAGAGATACAGCTTAACATGCATAAATTCTGTTTGGGTACAAAGGCAAACTTTTCCTAACTATTTAGTCTGGACATAGCAGCTATAAAAAAAGGTAATGGGGTTCCTGTAGGGAGATCTGGGCCCCTTTGACTACTGCCAACAAAGCTCTGGCCAACTTAACAGGAAACATATTGAAGATCATCTTTTTTTTTCTGATGATACATTTTTTCCAGCTAATTACAGGAATTCAGTAAATGTTAAAACTGCACTTACCAAAATAGGATTACACATGTGACAAAATATTAGCATCTTAGCATGCTTAGCATGACTTTTCCAGTTATTGTTTGGACACTTGCAGGAACGGAAAAATTTAGATAGCATTGAGAAAATACATTTTTTAATGCTATTCTTTGCACTTTCTAGCATTGGCTGGTGGGCCTTAAAAAGCCCGTCAGAAGAGAAGTTCTCTTCTCCAAAAGAGAAATTTAAAGTTTAACAATGACTGAAATAAAAGGAGAAAGTCTCAGAGTGGCAGAAACTCCTTGCCAATTCCCTAAGCATGCTCTGACACCAAGAGAACCAAAACCTCAGATTTCCAAGGTTTGCAGCTGTACCAAGGTCTGGCAGCCACACAAATGGCCTTGAAGCTGGGCTCCAGTTGCTCTCATTGAGAATTTTTTAAATGGTGAGATTTTCTTACTATAGGAACTACCTTCTCTACCCAGCATTAACAATTCTCCCCTAGGCCTAAACATTAACATGCAGTAAACACACTGGTGTTTTGTAGAACTTTGAAGGATTTAAATAGCTCATTTGCATTTTTTCCCAGACTTTTAAAAAAGCCATGTTACATGATCAGTACAGACATGCAACTGCTCTAATTTAAGTAGTAATCACACCAGAAGCTGTTTGTACCGTTAACTGTATGCACTGCTGAAGTAAATGAAATGAACTTCATTTCATTTTATGCAAAGTTCAATGCAAAAATTATTTCCCTACACTGCAGAAAATGTCTTTATTTGGCATAATAGCTATTCCAAACATAATGCAATTCTCTATGGTTTTATCAACTCAAGGGTTCTTCGAATCCCCAGGTTCTGCTGGTGGTTATCTCCATCCTTTCACAGAATACAAATATGCTCAATATATGTAACTCCTTATAAAATTATGTTCTTTTATGTCCTATTTGTTTGTTTTAATACAGAACTTGCCAAGAGCTCTGGGGCCTGTTTATTGGCTGAGATATAAATAGGAGGTATACTTCTGAGCTAGAAGAAGGCATGACAAACTGCAATAATTCAATTGTGCTATGTTGCCTGGAAGAACAAAACCCTCATTGGCTGTAAATAGCTTTGTTCATTGTCAGCATAAAAGGTAAAAACATTAATATCTTGCCTTGATTTTGACATATCTTCACCATTTTATATTTTTTAAACCTACATTTAAATATTTAAGAATCATCCTAGGCAGGGAATATCTTGATTTTACAGAGTTTATAGTGAATAAAGATAAATAAAAGTGAAATAGAAAATAACAAGGCAGAGGTACAATTAGAATTCTAAATTCACAATGGCCGAAATAAAAGGCCACGTTAAGGGAATCATGTATGTCCAGCCTTTTAAGGCCTTCACAACCCAGAAAATACAGGGTAGCATGTCCCTAACCATGAGGAGGCTAGCATTCCCTGGGTGTACACTGTTGTGCTATAGTACTTATGGCCGTCATCTTCAAAACTGAGGTTACCACAGCACCGACTGCTTTGCACCTACCTCATACCTGCATTGGCATTCACAGCCACACTTACCTTCCTCATCCTGCAAAAGAAACCTGCTGAGAAGTATCTTCCTAGCATCACTCCTACCTCTGGCTTGCATAAAATGCAAGGAGAGAAGGAATTCTATTTTATTTCACCACTTGATAGAAGATTAGCATGTTTAGGTGGAGTTGAATACTCCTACCCTAGGTGATTTCCATAAATTACTATTATGTTTAGGGGACCACAGAAGAACAAAATGAATACATAGCCAAGTTTTTGACAAAATGCAGCAAGAAAATATACTAATTTTTTTTTTTTTTTATTTCAGCATAAGGGTGTTGAAAAGTTGATTGTTTTCAATGCTAGTTAAATGTAACTTACCTGATCCTCTCTGAGGAATCTCTCAATGTCTCCATACCCAGGCTCATATTTGTGTTTAATGACAAGTTCACACCATCGGTGACGAACCTTTGGGAAGAAAAATAATACTAGGTAAACAACAAACAAACAAACATTTTTATATATTTTATCTGTTCGGGTGCTGATAATAGATCCATACCAGTTTGGCTTTTTCATCTTTGTTGGGTTTGTAGTTTTTGGCAAGTCAGTCAACTGGACAGAGGAGCCAAAGCTCTGTGCACCTCAGCCTGGGCTTTGGAAACCCAAGGTGCCCAAAAACAAACTCCTGATTCTGTGCTAGAAATTAACCCAGATCAAAGCACACGGCATCTTCACTGCCACTGTTTCCAGTCTTGACTTTCCTTCTTTTAAGTTAGGCTAGAGGTAATTTCTTTCTTATTGTCAAAAGGGGGGTGTGGGGGGAATGGCAGGAAACAGAAATTACCACTGCAGTGGTCTGGAGAAGCCACAGAATATAACTGATAATATCCCCTATGTAACCCCTTGTTTATCATACAAGTCATAAAAAGGCTTAAATGTAATTCTGTACCAATATTAAATCCATGCCAAAAAGTTAGGTATCAACCCATGAAGGAGGGAACTTTCACTTAAATGAATCAGTTCTGCTACTAACAGATTTTAAGCACATTGCTAAGCATTTAAAATTCATCTGCATTTAAAAAGATGTGGTTCAGTTCTACCAATGCACTTTGATAAAAAGTTACTGACACACCGTAACAAAGTTTCCTAGCAAACTGCAAGTGAAAAAATGGTCTACTTAAGGAGTGTGAACATGCATTACATGTTTTGTCTTTACATTTTTGACTTTGTTCTTAGCCATTCTTGTGGCATAAGCGTAATCTTACCCTCCCAGCAAGACTTGCCTGATTGCAGGCAGTGATCAGCCTAACATTTTATATTCCATTAGCCATTCAGCACAGATAGTAAAGGAAACCAGTTAAGTGGAATAACTCCCAGTGCTTCTGTTTCAGCCTTTTCTCTCACCATCTTTCAAAAGACAGGGCACCTAATGGAAATCACCCTTCATAGTAAGAATGAAATGCTAACATTTTTAATAGTTTTCAAAACTGAGTCCAAACTGTGCTTATATGAAGTAGCCAAATATGAACCTTTTTCTGAATGACAGATGTAGTGATAACATTGAGAACTGAAGACAAAAAGGGAAGATGGGGGAAAAGACACTGTTGCTTTTGGAAATAAAGGTTTTGAGAGTAATTTTCTTTTCATCCCTGCTAACTTTTTAGATCCGGAAAAAAATTTACAGAATTATGTTACATTAGATGTTAATCCCATTAGCATAATAACAAGTGATAAATGACCACAGGTCCTGTGTACTTGATACCTCTTTTCAGCTGACCCCTTATACAAAATAGTTTGAACACACCTGATGAAAATAAAAAGCTGTGAGGTTTTGGGACTGGGTGAGTTTTGCACTTGCTGCATTTAAGATACTGAATAGCAACAGTGCTGTACACTGGGAATAATTGCTGTCTCTTACAGCTTTTTGCTGACAAAATAGCAGCTGTTAGGATTCCTGCTAGTGGAACCAGAGCTAAATTTACAAAAGAAATAGCTTTCCAAGATTCAACTCACTTTGCTGCATATGCCCATATTCATAATGTAAACCTTCAAAACCCTACCCAGCTGCTGCTTCTCCCAGGAGACACTACATGTTTCTCCAGTAAATCTTCCCAGGCAATCTAGCTTTGTTACAGGGTGTTTCTCATAGCACCAAGCAGCTCCTTGCCTGGGTCAAACTACCCAGACTCAAAACTCAACCATACACCTTTCCCATCTGTAAGATGAGTTAACCAAACAATATAAACACATTTAAAAGACTGTAGATACACTGTACTCTGCACATTCTTCCTATAACATAGAAGAACATTCTTCTTATAACAAACAAACAAAAAATCCAAACAGAATTCCTAATGTATTCTGGTCTTAATAAGGAGAAACATGAGGAGGAGAAAGGGTCTGTGGTCCCCTCCTGTGATCACTGCTCTTCTACATCTCATGATCCAGCACTTACAGCACTTACCCAGGAGGTAAGCAATCAAGTGCAGCTTCTGTGGTTGCTCATGACCTCAAACTGTGCCTTCAGTGAGAATATTTCAACAGCAGACTATAAAGTATTCTGGGATGGGGCTCTCTTCATACCTCCTGGTGGAGCTTTTCTTTCCCCTGCAGTTATTAAAGTATTTCTTCATCTAAAGGTGGAGTCACAAGATATAAGGGCCCCCATTTCTGAGTACTCTTGATAACAAGTAGGGACCTGGCTTAAAGAGCACAGAAGCCAGTTGGCTCCCAGGACAGTTTTCTTGGTCCAACCACTGTAGTTGCATGGAGAGCAGAAAAAAATTCTCTCTGTGAAGGCGCTGATGTGGTCTTCTTCACATACTAACACCATGTATGAGTGACAGTGCATCATGGCTGGACCATCTGAATTCCAATGGCTCTGGAAAACACAGAACTAAGCTGTGCCTGTTCCTTTCTCCATATGGTTTCTGTCCTTGGCAACCAACATCTATTCAAATAGTTAAAAAGAAAAATATTTTTTGAGTGAGATCTGAGACAGCACACAATTTTCTTTTTCTCTTTTGCTTTTTTCCTTTTCTTTCCCAGGGTGAGTACAAATCCCAGCACATTCCCAGACCTGAAACGCTGGCACTTTGCCAGCTGGGGCAGGAGCAGGATGCCTCTTATCCTCAGATTACACATTTGCGTCCTGTCTGCCCCAAATCCGTGGCAGACCAAACTGCAGGAGAATCAATGGCTGCTGAAGGACCTTGTGAAACCATCAGCTCAGCCAGTCCTTCTGGCTCCCTGTGACTTGTACAAGACCCCAGAAAGCAAAGCACAGAAATCAAGGCTGGCTCTGAGTGCAAGAGGGGCAGGGGCATCTTTGCACAATGTGGACTGAAATGTACTGGTTACATTCCTGCCTTCTGCACCATATGGTGTAGACAGCCGTGTTGCCCGAACTGCAGCTAGAACAGTTTCTCAAACACATGCACTACAAAGAAGTAATTTGTCTATGATGCTCCATATCCCTAAGGCTGATTCCACAAACATAAGAATTTCAGTCACATTAGAGTAGGGTGCAAAAAAAAAAAAAAAAATTCAGTTCCCAGCATCTCATCCAATGCTTAGAGAGGCAAGAGCAAAATGGGCCCCAATGCTTCACAGCCTAATGAATGAGTCATGTGAACAGGCACTTTCAATAAAACTGTCTCAAAAGGAAATTTCAAAACCAAGCAGCTTGTGGTACGACTGGGCTAACCATACCACATCCTGTGTATGCTCTTCTTGGCTTTTCTTTTCCTCCCAGGAGCAAATACTCAGCGACAAAAATAAGAATTCATTAGTCCTCTTGCAGTTTTCTCTCTGCATGTTTCCCTGTGCTTTTTCTACAGTTCAGAGATTCACAGCATATGTCGTTTTGGCCGGTTACACCGTAAACAATATAAACTAAACCTGAAAAGTAATTCACAGCAATCCATCCTGTTATTGCTGGCAGAAAGCACACAGGACTTTGCTGGATCTGAAACAACACCTTTAACTGCTCACTCACCCACACACACTCTTACTGGTTTGGCAGCTGCAAGGGCCCACATGCTGAAATTGGAACTGAAATTTATTTTCTCAGCCTGCAATACCAGGGTTAAGAGCTGTCCTCTTGCTGGCCAAGGATGGGGAGAAGTGGGGCAGAGGAGCAATGGAGGCCTGCTGACACCTCAGGTTCCTTGTGGATGGATCCTCATTGCTCGGCAATTGTTTTTTTCCTCCCACCCTGCTTTTGGAGGTGTTGGGGCTGTCTCCTGTGCCAGCTTTCTAAGCTGAATGAAGTTTGTCACTGTGTTTTGCAACACAGTACTCATATGAGTAGTGCATTTCTGAGGCACAGTCCAGTAACATGAAGATAGAGACACTCAATGTCTCAAGCACAAAATTTAATTTTCATAAGTATCAACAACATTGAGTATTGGCATGTACCTACAAGGAACATTGTGAAGGGATGCTACTGTCAGACAGAGTCCCAAATATAGGACAAAATATAGGAGCAGAAGCTTTTACAAATAATTCCAGGAATCTGATAGTATCTTTTAATTTCATTTTTAAGAAGAATACACAGTATTGCATGATATTGTTTGTAACTCAAAAAATTACCTGCATTTTGACAGCTCGATGGAAGATACCAAGACCAAAATTTTGTTTGGTCTGTTTTCAGACAATGCAAGCTGCTGCATGAGATTATTTGAGGGGGGAAATTTACATAAAATATTCTAATGACACAGCTCTAAGGCAGTCCCTTTGTTTTAGCAACCCAGGCCAAGACCTTTTGGGAAACGGTGCTTGAAGCTGACAGACTAAAGCCATGTAAGGTACCTAATACACAGCTTGGCTTTCAAAAGAAAAGCTCACAGTGACATACATACCTGAGAAAACGATATTTTAAAAGATATTCCGAACATGTCTTAAATTAAAGAGATATTAATCGTTTCTGGCCCACATGATCAACTTTTTTGACTAATCCATGTTATTCTTCCCTGCTCCACACAATCATAGAATCCCAGAATAGAATGTGTTGAAAGGGACTCTAAAGATGATGTAGTTTCAACCCTCCTACCATGGCAGGGATACTTTCCACTAGATCAAGTTGCTCAAAGCCCCATGCAATCTTGGATGGGGCAACTTCCGGAAATGGGGCATCCACAATTTCTCTGGGCAGCCTGTTCCAGTGTCTATCCACTTTTGGATACAATTTTTCCTAATATCTAATCTAGGGCTACTCTCGGTTTCAAACCATTCCTCCTTGTCCTGTCACTCTATGCTCTTGCAAATAGCCACTCTCCATGTTTCTTACAGGCTCCCTTCAGGTACAGATGATTGCAATTAGGTCACTCCTTCTCTTCACTGGGCTGAACAAACCAATTCTTTGGCCTTTCCACACAGTAATCACAGAATCTCACAGAATCACAGTCGAGTTGGAAGGAGCCCTTAAGGATAATTGAGTCCAATTCTCAGAGCTGCATACAAGCAAAAAA